TTTCTTGTGCCATTGTAAATAATAAAGCATTGTGATGTCAAAAGCTTTCATGGCTGGAACCACTGGGTTGCTGTGAGTTTTCCAGGCTGTATGGCCATGTTCCAGAAGCATTCTCTCTTGACATTTCATCCACATCTATGGCAGGCATCCTCAAAGGTTGAGGGGCCTGTTGGAAACTAGGCAAGTGGGGTTTATATATATCTGTGGAATGTCCAGGGCGAGAGAAAGAACTCTTGTCTGTCTGAGGCAAGTCTGAATGTTGCAACTGGTCAGAAACAATCAGGGCCAGTTAACACCTCCCAACAAATGATTCCCCCAGGAAGGAAGCAGCCAGGCTTTGAAACTGCAAGGATATTCAATGCTAAACAAGCTGGCCTATTGCAACATTCACACTTGCCTCAGGCAGACAATAGTTCTTTCTCCCATCCTGGTCATTCCAAAGATATATAAACCCCACTTGCCTAGTTTCCAATAGACCTCACAACCTCTGAGGATGCCTGCCATAGATGTGGATGAAATATCAGGAGGGAATGCTTCTGGCCATACAGACTGGAAAACTACCCAGTAATAGAGCATTATTATCAGCAGTTTTGTGGATCCACACTTAGTCAAGGAGGGTATCCTCTAGTTATTGGGATCATAAGGTACAGTGTAATCCTCCTTTGTGGTCATAAGGTCTGTAGCCTTTAGCCCAAGAGTGCTGCAACTTCCAAGATTGTTTGCTGTCTGGCATTGCAACATTAAGGTGCAGTCACTATGCTTTCACTCAGTATCTAAGGGCCTGACTCCCAGAAATTAAGGGTCAGACATATAAGATTGAAGCCATTATTGGCTCACTGACTCTGCAACATTTTGTTTAAGGTGTATTTACACCGCCCAATGAATGCAGTTTTGACACCACTTGTACTTCCATGGCTCAATGCTCTGGAATTGTGAGAGTTGCAGTTTGATGAGACAGGAGCCCTCTTTGGCTCAATAGGGTTGCGGTGAGTTTTCTCAGCCATGTTTTAGAAGCATTCTCTCCTGACGTTTCACCTGCATCTATGGCAGGCATGCTCAGAGGATGCGAGGTCTAGATGTGAATGTTTCAATTGACCACCATGATTAGCATTGAATGGACTTGCAGCTTCAAGGTCTGGCTTCTTACTGCCTGGGGGAATCCTTTTCGGGAGGTGATTAGCTGGCCCTGATTGTTTCTTGTCCGGAATTTCCCTGTTTTTGAGTGTTGTTCTTTATTTACTAATGATTTTATAGGGTTTTTTTTAAAAAAAAAAAATACTGGTGGCCAGAGAGATTCAATACTGGTAATGGGAGAGATTTCCCCAAGGCCTGCATTCCGCCTGCTTCACGGAGTTGCCGGATGACTTCCTTTCCGCGTTTTTCTGCGCTGAGAAGACCCTGCTTGCCGTTCAGAAATGTGGTGGTAACCCCCTTCTTGACGAGGAGCAAAAGCGTGCCGCGTGCTCGATTTCCCAGGCAACGTCCCTTCCATCCCCGGGATTGTAATCCCTCCGTCCTGATGAATCCCATCATCGGCAAGAGCAAAACTTTCCCCCGAGCAAACCTGTGCCAATGATGATCCCAATGAAGGGATTACAGTAGGGCGGGGATGGAAAGAGGTGGCGGAGGCAGGCAGGCAGGCGAGCCCGACCCCCTCTCTCTCCGCTCACCTCCGGTTACCTTGGCTCGGGTCTCCTTCCCCTGCTACTCCCCTTCCCTTCCCTTCCCGAAGCCCTCCCCGCGGCGTTGCATAACGCAGCGGCCGCTTGGTCGATTTTAACAGGATTACACCCTTTGCTTAAAACGCCTCGGTGGCACGGGAAGCGTCAATTTGATTTCCAAGCCGCGCTTTCGGAGATCAACGGAGCTCCCTGCCTGGAGGGGTGTGTGTGCGTGTGTGTGTATGAGGTTGATCTCGCAAGGAGACGGCCTCGGGAAGGCTTGGGGTTTGTGGCAACTGCCTGGAACAGCGGGTCGGCCAAGTGACACATGCAAGATACTCCACTTAGGCAGAAAACACGAAAGGGCAAAGATACAGAATGGGGGACAATGCCTGGCTCGAGACCACTACGTGTGAAAAAGGTCTTGGAGTCCTCCTGGACAACAAGTTAAACATGAGCCAACAATGTGATGCGACAGCAAAAAAACAACAACAAAAAAACAAAAACAAAAACAAAAACAAAAAAAACAATGGGATTTTGGCCTGCATCAGTAGGAGTATAGTGTCTAGATCCAGGGAAGTCATGCTACCCCTCTATTCTGCCTTGGTTAGACCACATCTGGAATACTGTGTCCATTGAAGGGAGATGTTGACAAGCTGGAATCTGTCCAGTGGAGGGTGACTAAAATGATCAAGGGACTGGAGAACAAGCCATACGAGGAGTGGCTTAAAGAGCTGGGCATGTTTAGCCTGAAGAAGAGAAGCAGGCCCATAGCCAGGATTTTGATTGGGGGCGGGGGGGGGGGGGCTGAGGCCCCTCAAGCCCCCCTCCCGCCCCCTGGCTACATGCCTGGGCTGAGAGGAGACTTGATAGCCATGTATAAGTATGTGAGGGGAAGTCATAGGGAGAAAGGAGCAAGCTTGTTTTCTGCTGCCCTAGAGACTAGGACGCAGAGCAATGGCTTCAAACTACAGGAAATGAGATTCCACCTGAACATGAGGAAGAACTTTCTGACTGTGAGAGACGTTCAGCAGTGGAACTCTCTGCCCCAGAGTGTGGTGGAGGCTCCTTCTTTGGAGGCTTTTAAGCAGAGGCTGGATGGCCATCTGTTGGGGTGCTTTGAATGCAATTTTCCTGCTTCTTGGCAGGGGGTTGGACTGGATGGCCCACGAGGTCTCTTCCAACTCTATGATTCTAAGAAGAAGCTGGAGGAGGAGACGGGGAGAAGAAGAGGAAGGGCGCAGCTCCACTGCAGAATGAATACCCCCTGGACCCTGCTCAAGGCAAGGGAATCCTGGGAGTTCTGGTTTGGTGAGGCACCAGCACTCTCTGGCAAAAAAAAAAAAAAAAAAAAAAGACCAAAGACATGGATAAACCACAACTCCCTCCAAATATATAGCATTGAGTCCTCCAGTGGCACTATTGGTTAAACCAGGCAACCTCAAACTGCGGCCTTCAGCTGTTTGGCCTCAAATTCCCAGAAGCCCTAATGAGCTTGTTCAATTGTCAGGAATTCTGGGAGGTGGAAGACTGCTGGAAGACTGCAGTTTGGAAGACTGCAGTTTGAGGATACCTGGGTTAAACCAGTGGTTCTCAACCTGTGGGTCCCCAGATGTTTTGGCCAGAAATCCCAACAGCTGGTAAACTGGCTGGGATTTCTGGGAGTTGTAGGCCAAAACACTTGGGGAGCCACGGGTTGAGAACCACTGGGTTAAACTCTTGTGCCAGCAGAACTGAAAACCAACAGGTCAGAGGTTCGAATTCGGGGAGAGTGCGGATGAGCTCCCATCTGTCAGCTCTAGCTTCCCATGCGGGGACATACGAGAAGCCTCCCACAGGATGGTAAAAGACCCCAGCACCCCCTGGGCAACGTTCTTGCAGACAGCTAATTCTCTCACACCAGAAGCGACTTGCAGTTTCTCAAGTCACTCCTGACACGAAGAAATAATAATGTCCTGGCAGTTCAAGTGGGGCCACACCGCATTCATTCCTGTGTAGATCAACCTTTAGTGACTTGTGCGCATGGCGCTATTCGTTGGAACCTAAGGAGGCCCTTTCACTCCGGATCCCAGCTATGTCTCAAGAGCAGTCCAAGGGAGGGGAGCAATCTGAAAGCCTGGTTTGCTGCTGAGAAACCCGAGTTTGCCCTTGAGCTGGGATGTCGCAGAATAAGAAAGAATGCCATCCCTTCCACACTGCCATATAAAATCCAGATTATCCGCTTGATTATATGGTAGTGTAGAAGGGGCCAAAGAAAGAACTAACGCTGGGGTCGCAGGCGCTCACAGGCTGCATTTACACTGTGAAATAATGCAATTGGACACCACTTTTGAACTGCCACCATGGTTCAATGCTATCGAATCCCGAGAGTCTGACAATATCTTTCGTCTTCTCTGTCAAAAGGTGTCGATGCCTCACCAAACAAAAACTCCCATGACTTCGCAGTACTCAGCCCTGACAATAAGTGATGTCAAACCGCACTCATTCTCCGGTGTAGATGCACCCACAGGATCCTCCAGCGGAGTGAAGGAAAGAGCAAAGGCAGCCAGTTCTCTTTCTCCTTCCCGTCCGGACCTAAACGGGAGGAAAGAGTGTCTGGGTTGCTGTAAGTTTTTCAAGGCTGTATGTCCATGTTCCCGAAGCATTCTCTCCTGACGTTTCGCCTGCATCTATGGCAGGCATCCTCAGAGGTAGTGAGGACCTCACAACCTCTGAGGATGCCTGCCATAGATGCAGGCGAAACGTCAGGAGAGAATGCTTCTGGAACATGGCCATACAGCCCGAAAAACTCACAGCAACCCAGTGATTCCGGCCACGAACGCCTTCGACAACACAAAGAGTGTCTGGCTGGGTTTCCCTCCCCGCTAGATCTATACATATACATAGAGAGACACATTATATACATTATACATGAGCAAGCGGCACGCGCAGCCCTTTTGGAAACAGAATATATACATGTATCCATATACATGAGCAGGAGGCACGTGCACTTCCTTTTTAATAAACGCACACGCACACAAAGCACCGCTTCCTTTTCCTCCTCTTCCTCCTCCTCCTCGATCCGCCCACCGGCGCTTCCTGATCTTGTCTGGAAAAGGGAATCGCGGGGGGAAAGGGAGAAGGGCTGACCCTCCAAATGTGGAAGGGAACCGGGAGGGTGCACTTCCTTCCTTCCTTCCTTCCTGCCGCTCTGGGCCTGCGCCGCGTCCCTTGGCCAGCAGGGGGCGAGTCCTGCCTCACTCTCTTTCGCAGCGGGCGCGCGCCTCGCCCCCTCGCCGCGCGCGCCCCCGGCTCCTCCTCCTCCTCCTCCTCCTCCTCCAACTAAACTCTGGCRGAGTGCGAGAAGCGCTGCCGCCACCACCGCCGCTTCGGAGTGCCTGCTTTTGGCCAGCGGTAGGGAAGCTCCGYGCCTGCCGCCGAGGAGAAGCCGAGCCTTGGGCTCCTCCTCTTCTTCTCCCCCCTCTTGGCTCCTTCCCCATCCCGGCTGCAACAGGAGGCTTCCGCACTCACTCGCCAGGGAGACCAGGCGGCGGGAGGGAAGGAGGCAGCGGAGACTTCTCGCCGAAAAGTTCTCCAAAGTGGCCATGGCTCCGGCGGTGGGAGCCCCGCGGTGGCTGCTGCTGCTCTTGGCCTCCTCCTTGGCCCCTTCGGAGGCCCTCCTCGGAGCGGCCCGGGGACAATTCTCGGCAGGTAAGGAAGAAGCGGGAGTCAGGGATCGGGGGAAAGGGAGGGAGACTCGGCCGAGGTCTGGTGGGGGAGTGGGTAGGGCAGGACGGGAAGCAGCCTCGGAGCCTCCTGTCTCCCCTCCAGCCTGGCTCAAMTCTCTCCGCCTCTCAGTGGGAGCASGGCGGCTGGAGGAGGAGGAGGAGGAGGAGGGAGAGCAAACCGTGGCCCAAACAAAGCCTGGCCTCGCTCCTCGGCGCCTGCCTCTCTTCTCGGGGGGCGCTTGTGGCCCCAGAGCCGGGCAGCCCAGGTTGAGCACCCCTCTCCTTCTGTCCCTTTGGCTCTCGCGGGCTCTTTTCCTTCCCTTTCCTTGGAGCGGATTCCCAACCGGGCTCCGCTCGTCCCTTCGGTGGGAGCCCAAAGTTCGAGGTAGTTGCCTCCAGCCAGGTCCCATCTACACTCCCAATATAAACCAGTGTGGATTGGGTTGCTGTGAGTTTTCCGGGCTGTATGGCCATGTTCCAGAAGCATTCCCTCTTGCCGTTTCGTCTGCATTTATAGCAGGCATCTTCAGAGGTTGTGAGGTCTGTTGGAAACTAGACAGAAAGTGGAGTTTATATATCTTTTGAATGTCCAGGATAGGAGAAAACTCTTGTCTGTTGGAGGCAAGTATGAATGTCACAACTGGCCACTTTGATCAGCATGGAATAGCCTTGCAGCTTTAAAGCCTGTCTGCTTCCTGTCTGGGGGAGAGACTACACAGAGAAGCCATTGAAATCCACAAACATGGGGACTATTTCAACAGAAAGGAGGAAAACATGAAAATGAACAAAATCCGGCCACCGGTATTTTAAAAAACTCTAAGATCAGGACAGTAAATAAAGAGCAATACTAAAAAACAAACCAGGGGAATTCCAGACATGAAACAAGTGTGAGTGTTGCAGTTGTTGCAGAGTGGACCCCTAGGGTGCTGTTGAACTGCCTTGAAGGGCATTCTATGGCAGCCTCGAGGGAGGGGGGCGCAGGGAGGGAGTCAGGGGCGTTTGGCTCCCCCTTTCTCCTTCCTTCCTTCCTTCAGGAGGGAAAGAGTTAAGCCCCCCCCCCTCTGCCCCCGGCGCCTGGGCTCCCAAAGCTTTCTTTCTCCCCGCCGCGGCCGGGCCTCGCCTCCCTTCTCCTCCTGTTGACTTTCCACGCGAACTTTGGGCCGCCTGTTTGCCTGGCTCCCTTGCCTCCTCGGCCTCGGGTGCAGCTGCTGCACTGTGGAATTCCACGCGGGTTGACACCACTTTTGAACTGCCGCGTCTCAATGCTATGGAGCCACGAGAGTTGTCGTTCGGAAAGACCTTTAGTCTTCTCTGCCAAGGAGCGAAGGGGGCCTCATCAAACCCCCCGGGTTTTCTTTCATCACATAGAGACCCACCGCCGTTAAAGCGGTGTCAAACTGCTCCCGTCGTCCAGTGTAGATGCACCCCATGTCCTCCAGGAAAGGATCCCGTGTTTTCAATTGCCTCTTTCCCGGATTTGGGGTGCAACCACACCATAGACTAGCGCTCTTCGGCGGAGAAGGCTGGAGATCTTCGAAAACTACAACTCCCAGGATTCCATAGCATTCAGCCCTTGCAATTGAATGTGGTAACAAACTGTATCCATATCACTTTCAACTGCCATAGCTCAATACTATGCAATCCTGGGAGTTGTAGTTTTCGAAGATCTCCAGCCTTGGGTTGCTGTGATTTTCCAGGCTGTATGTTCCGGAAGCATTCCCCCCTGACATGTCTCCCACGGCTTTGGCAGGCATCCTCACAGGTTGTGTGGTCTGTTGGAAACGAGACAAGTGGTGTTTATATATCTGTGGAATTTCCAGGGTGGGAAAAAGAACTCTTGTTTGATTGAGGCAGGTGTGAATGTTGCAATTGGTCAGAAACAGTAGTCAGGGCCAGTTAACAACTCCTAACAAAGGTTTCCCCCAGGCAGGAAGCAGCCAGGCTTTGAAACTGCAAGGCTGTTCAGTGCTGACCACATCTGTGGCAGGCACCCTCAGAGGGTGTGAAGTCTGTTGGAAACTAGGCAAGTGGGGTTTACATATCTGGAATTTCCAGGATGGGAGAAAGAACTCTTGTCTGATTGAGGCAAGTGTGAATATTGCAGTTGGTCAGAAACAACCAAGGGCAGTTAACACCTCCCAACAAAGGATTCTCCCAGGCAAGAAGCAGCCAGGCTTTGAAACTGCAAGGCTATTCATTGCTGACCACATCTGTGGCAGGCACCCTCAGAGATTGTGAGGTGAAATGTCAGGAGAGAATGCTTCTGGAACATGGCCACACAGCCTGGAAAACTCAGAGCAACCCAGTGATTCCTCCAGCAACACATCTCCAGCCTTCTCTGCCGAAGAGCTAGAGCTTGGTGAAATTGCACCTCCCAGGATCCCATTGCCTTCCCAGTGGTGTCAAACTGTATGACTTCTGTTGGGTGGATGCACTCTTTGTTTCTGGGAAGGCAACTTGGAGGCTTCTGCAGAACCGGAAACCAAATGAAAGAGTGAGAGAGAGAACCAAAAGAAAGACAGCCTGGTCCCAACTAACCTGCTCGCCCAGTTTTTGCGGGATGCGCGCACACATGCTGCTGGTGCCTTTAACCATTTCTTGCTACTCTTTGGAGAAGATCCTGCTCAGCTGATGGAAGCATGCAAACTCCTGCAGACATGTCAGGCTTCCTACACACCAGGTGTCGGCAAACTTGAGCCCTCCAGGATTTTTGAACTCCAACTCCCACCATTCCTAACAGCCTCAGGCCCCTTCCTTTTCCCCCTCAGCCGCTTAAGCTGTTAGGAATGGTGGGAGCTGGAGTCCAATACACCTGGAGGGCCCAAGTTTGCTCATGCCTGCTATACACACTTGGTTCAGCCATAAGCTTAATTCTGTCACCAGCCAGAATCGCTGCAACTCAGTTGTACACAAAGCTCGTAAGTCCCCTTGAAACTATGCATGGAAACTTTCTTTTGAATAGAAAGTGTGTGGCCATCACCTTTCAAAGGGAGGCACGCCAGGCACAAAGCAATGAATGAGCAGCCTTTCCAGCTCAGTTGGGATATGCTTCCCTCCCTCCAATTTTGTCAAGACTCAAATGGATTGAAAGTTTGAATGGGAACACTGCTGGGATTAGAATTGCCTCTAATTTATAATGTTGGATATATAGCGAGGTGGGTTTTTTTTAAAGAGTTGAAATTGTTCTAAGAAATGTCAGTGAAAGACGTGGGTGTTTTATGCCAGTTTGGTCCAAGTTCTCAGAACATTTGAGCTAATTTCCTTCCTAATCAAAGGATACATTTTTTCCCTTTTTGTGAGTTTCAGACATTGTTACACATTTGTAAGGGGTGGCAGTCAGCATCTGTTATGTACTTCTTATGCAAACCTGGCCACGCTAAATCATTTGTCTTTATGCCGGTGCCATTATGTGGAGGGTTGGACACAAAAGAAGGTAGCAGAAAGAGTTGGGATATTGTTGTTGCGTTCTGAGTATTGGCTTCTGCTGCTCTTAAACTTGACCTGTAAACATTGCCACTACTTTATTCAATTGTAGTCCTGGAGCCCTGGGTGATGCAATGGGTTAACCCCTTGTGCCAGCAGGTCAGAGGTTTGAATCCGGGGAGAGAGTGGATGAGCTCCCTCTGTCAGCTCCAGCTCCCCATGTGGGAACATGAGAGATGCCTCCAACAGGGATGGTAAAACATCAAAGCATCCGGGCATCACCTGGGCAACATCCTTGCAGACGGCCAATTTTCTCACACCAGAAGTGACTTGCAGTTTCTCAAGTTGCTCCTGACACAAAGGAAAATGGTACTCCTCTTTATTTCCAATCAGTGTGTGTCCCACACTTGAACATCTTACAGTATATTGTAATGCCCGATTGGAATTTTACTATGTATGGCATTAGAAAAAAAGAGAACATGAAGAGAGATAGTAAATGCACAAACTCCCTCAGTGGTGCAAGGGTTAAATCAAACCACTCTAAATGGTTTGTGAATTGTCCTTTTATTTTTAGGGTCACTGGATCACTAGAGGAAATTGAATCCAATTACTGGAATGAATTAGAACTATTTTCCAGTGTGTTTATTTACAACTCTCTATACATTCTATTGGCTATGTAGCAGGCAGACTGGACCATTGTTGGCTAGGTTGGAAAGACATTGGATTTGAATGGTGTGGAATGGCACATTTTTGATGTTATCTGGATGGGGAACTTTCAAAATGTTCAACGTGTTGTCAAAGGCTTTCATGGCTGAAATCACTGGTTTGCTGTGGGTTTTCCAGGCTGTATGGCCATGTTCCAGAGGCATTCTCTCCTGAAATTTCACCCACATCTCTGGCAGGCATCCTCAGAGGTCTGTTGGAAACTAGGCAAGTGGGGTTTATATAACTGTGGAATACTTAGGGTGGGAGAAAGAACTCTTGTGTGCTTGAGGCAAGTGTGAATGTTGCAATTGGTCACCTTGATTAGCATTGAATGGCCTTGAAGCTTCAAAGCCTGGCTACTTCCTGCCTGGGGGAATCCTTTGTTGGGAAGTGTTAGCTGGCATTGACTTTTTTGTCTGGAATTCCTCTGTTTTTTTGTGTGTTGCTTTTTATTTACAGTCCTGCTCTTAGAGTTTTTTTTAATACTGGTAGCCAGATTTTGTTCATTTTTATGTTTTCCTCCTTTCTGTTGAAATTGTCCACATGCATGTGGATTTTAATGGCTTCTCTGTGTAGTCTCCTCCCAACAAAGGATTCCCCCAGGCAGGAAGCAGTCAGTCATTGAACCTGCAAGTCCATTCAATGCTAATCTAGGAGGCCAATTGTAGTGTTCCTACTTGCCTCAAACAGACAAGAGTTCTTTCACCCACCTTGAACATTCCATAGATATACAAACCCCACTTGCCTAGCTTCCAACAGATCTCGCAACCTCTGAGGATGCCTGTCATAGATGCAGGCGAAACATCAGGAGAGAATGTTTCTGGAACATGGCCATACAGCCCAGAAAACTCACAG